TCTGAACCCTTTCAAGTTTCACATTATGTTGCTGAAAAATTTCCCCCCACCCCCATCCTCTTCCTCAATGCCTCTCCACCACCCCCCCCAAATTCCCCAAAGAGATGGCTTCTGCCATTGCCCATCTTATCTTTGAGAAAGTGGTGGTGAAATGCCAAAGATCAGGAGTGCTGGTATTAATGTGAACTGGAAGGCAAAATAAGCAATATATTTAAAAAGCCTCAGAAAATTTACTTGATCAGTGGCCACAGAAAATTGCTAGTCTTTGCATCAGGCATATCGTCACTAAGATAAATGCGTTGAGCTGCTGCAACTGAAATCAGCAGTTTTTATGTCACTTACTTGGTGCACCAACTACAATAATTGACACAATTAATACTTTATAACTGGTATCATGTGTTTATTGACTATAGCCATTGTGCATGCTAATAACATTTACCATTTTTGGTGGCACATTGTCACAAACGTGGATGGTGACAGTAACTATTGAAATTATGGGTACATTGCTAACAGCAAAAAGCAGAAGATATGTTTATAATGCTGAAATTACATCCATAGGAAGCAATCGAGTAATAGCTGTCAGGTTTTACTTAGCTGTATTTTTTAATATTTGCTGTTGGTGATCTTAGAAATCGGGCTTTGCAGATGCTCTGTCAGCTGTAAGGGTGAATAAAATAGTTCTCACTTTCCCAGCTTTCAAGGCCAATGCTGCTCTGTGTCAAACTGATAAAACAAATTGCTTTCTGTGGATTTTTTTATTATTCATTCCATGGAACGAGGGTGTCTCATTTCATGCCCATCCTTAATTGCCTTGGTGGTGGGTTTGGCTGCTGTCTTGAACAGCTGCATTCCTTGGGCCATAGTGGTAGCCATTGTGCTGTTAAGAAGGGAGTTCCAGGATTTTGACCTAGTGACAGTTAAGGAACAGCGGTATACCTCCGAGTCAGGATGCAAGACCGAGATAACATTGAGGAAGTAACATCAGCTCTGAGTCCGTCCATCAACTAGTTTGTTTCGGAAGCAACTATGACAAGTAGTTGAGAAATTGTCGCCTGCTTTGTTGTTGATGTATCTCCACTGACCAATTAAAATCTGGTATGTTTTATTTTTGCTCGCTGAAGTTAATAATCAGTTTTTAATGCCTCCATCCTGGTCAGTTAACATTTCTACAAATGTTATCCTCACTTCTGTTTGGTCAAACTTTTAGGAGGTGCATATTGCAAACTCCAGGAAATTTCTTTGCCCATTTCTTTGTTAATGTTGCTCTTTTTGCCAAGTGTTGTGAATCTCCAGGGCTTTTATTGAGGCAATATTCCATTTCTATGTATTATTATAGAAATAATGTGCAGGGTATAGGGAAAGGGAGGAGCTTGCCTCTATGTTAAAATGCTCAGAGAGCTTGTGCAGACATGATAGGCTGAATGACCTCCTTCTACACAAGAACAATTCTGTAGTTCTGTGACTATTCAGAGCTATCCTCTGCTGTGGAACCCCTGCCCTACAAGCAAATATCCCACCTTGTTCACAGGAATCAAATTCTAGAGTCTATGCAATACTGTAGTTTACTTTTTAAGCAGTACATTGTATATTTTGAAGTTTACTTTGATTAGTTGACACTTTATTAATGAACGACTGGTATTAGGACTGAAAGGTGGGAAGTCAATTTACATGGGGACCTCTCTTAGCTTGCTCTTTCAGTTAGACTTGAAAGCTGTTGAAATATAAGCATAAACTCACAAGTACAAGCCAGTTGTAGTCATATGCAGCAGGGCATCTGGAATCTTTGTGTGCAATGGAACAAACTTTTTATCTACAATGAGACCTTAGGATTGAGAAACAAACAGAAGGAGACCTCAGAAAGAGATAAATTCAGAGAGAAATAGAGATTGCATTTTAAAGAAAAGACAAAAAGAAAGTAAGAAATAATGTAAAGATTTAAAATTTAAACTTTTAAAATCTCAAACCAATCTGAAATAGTCAAACCCCATACTTGTTATTGTTCGCTCTGAGCAGGAATTGTTGGTTAGCAGTCACTAATAATGATCATGCTATTTAGTGTGTGGGACTTATGAATGAACATTCATTGATAATGATCACTTCATTAAAATTATGCTTGTGTTAGTTATCAGACTTAACTTTGTAAGTTAAATTAATGAACAGATGCTGTGACTTCATGAGAAGTCATAGAAGGATTAATATTGGGATGCCATTTATATGAAGCTGCAGGCAGCTGCAAATCAATTCACATGTATCTCTTCATCACTACAAGGTGCAGCAGAATTTGTGTATTACTAACTGCACTATTTAGATGCCATTGTGTTTGGCATCTGAGCCATAGAAAATACAGTCCAACAACAAGCTCACTAGGCCAATGGGAGATAGCAAGAACTGCAGATGCTGGAGTCAAAATCAATACAGTGTGGAGCTGGAGGAACTCAGCAGGTCAGGCAGCATCAGAGGAGCAGGAAAGTCGACATTTCGGGTTTACACTGTTCCGGACTGGGAAGGGGGAAGGGAGCTCGTAAATTAATGGGAGATGGGGCTGGGGGAAGGTAGGTGGGATGGGGACAGGTGGATGCAGGTAGAGGGTAGTGGGGATTGGTCGATGGGAAGGGTGGGTTGGATAGGTGGGAAAGAAAATGGATAGGTTATTGGGTCAAGGAGGCAGGGACGAGAAGGAGGGTTGGACATGGGATGAGCCTTGGGATGGGGAGATTTTGAAACTGGTGAATTCTTTGTTGAGGCCGTCAGGCTGTAGGCTCCCTAGGCAGATTATGGGGTATTGTTCCTCCAGTTTGCGTGTGATGTCATTGTGACACTGGAGGAGGCCCAGGATGGACATGTCACGAAGGGAGTGGGAGGGGAAGTTAAAATAGTTGGCAACTGGAAGGTGTTGTTAATTATAGTGTACAGAGTGCAGATGCTCTGCGAATTGGTCACCGAGTCTGCGGTTGGTCTCACTGATGTAGAGGAGGCTACATCGGGAGCAATGGATACAGTAAACCAGGTTGGAGGATGTACAGGTGAATCCCTGTTGGATTTGGAAAGATTGTCTGGGGCCTTGGATGGAGGTGAGAGGGGAGGTGCAGGGGCAGGTGTAGCACTTCCTGCGGTTGCAGGGAAAGGTGCCAGGTCTGATGGGGTTGGTGGGGAGTGTGGAACAGACGAGGGAGTCATGGAGAGAGTGGTCCCTATGAAAGGCGGATAGTGGTGGGGAGGGAAATATCTCTTTGGTGGTGGGGTCGGATTGCAGATGGTGGAAATGGCGAGGATGATGCGCTGGATGCGGACATTGGTGGGGTGGCATGTGAAGACCAGGGGGACTCTGTCCTATTTTTGGGGGAAGGGGTTTTGAGGGCAGAAGTGTGGGAAATACAAGCGATGCGGTTGAGGGCATTGTGAATCAACGGAGGGGTGATTTGTGGTCCTTGAAGTAGGAGGACATCTGGGATGTCCGGGAGTGAAACGCTCCATTTTGGGAGCAGATGTGGTGGAGACGGAGGAATTTGGAGTAAGCCAGTCACTTACTGCTGGTCTTAATCATCCACAATTTACATATATGTGTAAAATTAAATGTAAAGTGCATCTGTTGTTTCAGTAATGTTGATGGGTCACATGATGGTGCAGTGTGTTTTCAGTTTTTGCCTGTGTAATGGATCTCCAGCATCAATTTAATTTCCTGATGCCCATAAAGAATGCTGTGACTTATATGCCCTATTTTATGGTAATTAGAATTTATATAGGTTTCCTTTCACAAAGATGGATTGAATAAGACTTTTTTCATTCTTTTGAGTTATAACCCAAGTTTTCAAGGAAAATGGAATTCTGTCTCTTTATATCTTGAGTTTTACAGTGCATGACAAGTGTAATTTAAAAAGTACAAACATAACTTACCTAACAGCCCTTGCTTGAAAGCTGTCGGCACAAGTTTTTGGTCAGTTTAATTAATCCAGTGATGGCTGGTGTGCTGTGTAATTTTCTCCACTGTCACTTTTCTCTTGATTTAGAGGTGTTATTTTCACTGGTGTCGCTGTCTGTTGATTTAGTGATGGCAAAAGCTAATTTTGACTGGTATGTCGGATAACTGCACTGATTATACACCCTGAGAGATGAGATTATTTAAATTGCACAGGAACAGAGCGCTTCTGCTTTGTGGTCCCTGTGCTGTTTAATTTTTTGTGTATTTTAAAAGAGCAATGTCTTGAATCTTATATTTGATTCAAGCTAAGCAAATTTAAGATGCATCTTGTATCAAACTCACTTGGCTGAAAATCACAGATTTGCTCACAAGAATCGAATGAGAATGATTTATAATTCCACAACCACCAATTTTTTAAGCTAATGGGGCCAAAGCTGTATGTGATGGGGAGTGGGGTATTCACCCAAATTAACCACTGGAAGTAAGCTTGTAAATATTTGGAACTTCTTATTTTGGGTAGCAGATTTCCTGTCAAAAATGAGCAAGAACTACATTAACATTTCAGGATTGATGCCTGATAATGTCATTAAGATCCTGTTGTTTGAACAGTGTCCAGATATATAATCGGGAGGGCAGTATCTGTAACTGCAATGTCTTCTGCAGTCTCCTGTGCGCATTGAGTCTTAAATGCTTCCAATATCCTATCGTCATACTGCTTTGGTACATAATTTGTCTGATCCAGAAAGTAGTTGCTTCATTTCATTTTCCAGTGACTCCACCCATCCTCAATAAGGGATTCTCCAGATCCATGTCAGTCAGCTTCCCTGTGTCTACACCCCATAACGGTCAACCTGCCTATATGATTAATACTATGAGCAACTTTTAGACAACTGTCACAGATTTTGTAGCAGGGTATGATTATTTTAACAAATCTGATCATAACTTTCTTCACATAATAATGAACATGCTTTGCTTTACCCCACAAGTGAGTCATTTGCTGGATTTAATGTTTCCTTCTCTTACATTTGTCTTCTTAACCAAACCAAAGATGCCCCTAAACCTTTGTTTAATAATTTTGCAGATGAACTCTTTATCTGTCTCTGTATTCGCATCTGGGAAGGCCAGCTAGACAACTTCCATAGGGTCAACAACTATTTTTAACTTCCATAGAGTACTTGGAATCAAAGACTTCACTGAAAATGATGGACGGGCTTTAGGGAGCCAGGAGGTGAGTTACTTACCGCAGTATTCCTACGCTTGACCTGTTCTTGTAGTCAATGTGTTTATGTGGTGAGTCCAGTTGAGTTTCTGGTCAATGGTAACCCCCAGGATGTTGATAGTGGGGGATTCATTGATGGTAACACCATTGAATGTCAAGGAACAATGATTAGATTATCTCTCCTGGGTGATTGTCAGCCCAGCGTGGATATTGTGCAGATCTTGTTGCATTTGAACATGGAATGCTTCAGTATCAGAGGAGTTGCAAATGGTGCTGAACAGTGTGCAATCATCAGCGAACAACCCCACTTCTGACCTTATGAAGGAGGGAAGGTCACTGAGGAAGCAGCTGAAGATGGTTGAGCCTAGGACACTACCCTGAGGAACTCCTGCAGAGATGCCATGGAGCTGAGATGACTGACCTCCACAACCACGACCATGTTCCTATGTTCCAGGTATGACCCCAACCTGCAGAGAGTTTGCCTCCTGATACCAATTGATTCCAGTTTTGCGAGAGCTCCTAGATGTTGCACTCTGGCTCAGCAGTCATCCTGACTAGGCAAAATTCCAGACCTATTTTCTATGTTTTGCAAGCCCAGGCTGGTTAAGTATGGCCAGTACCCTGCCTGTTGTGTACAGCTGAAGGGATATGCTATTTGATACAATCCATCAGTCACTGCAACCTATGGCTTACATACCAGGCATTACAGTGGCAGTATGTCACATTTGCCAAATGGCTGAATGAGTTCCTACAACTAGTTCTGTCAACTTTTTCCATTTAAACAGTGTAAGTCTCCTTCACTTTGAATGGACCATATGAGACCTGCATATCAATAACAATGACGTGTCCATGTGTTCATACAGCTTTCTAACCTATTCACTAATATGTTGATCCAGGAATTCTGAGACATTTTAGACGTATCACTACGTCCATATTGGTCGAGATGTGCTGCTGTTGTCGGTAAATTTAAGAACTTGGCAGCTGCTTAATTGAGGTGAGTTTTAATCACTCCACATATGCCCAAATGGACGATGTTGCCATAGGGAACACCTCTAGGTCAAGCTGTAGCTTGCATTTTCACCAGTTTCCAAAAGAAACATGTTTTTGACTGAACTATCCCACATTTTATACCCTTTGAATATTTCCGGCACATAGATTCAAATATTGCTAATGTATCTACAACTACATCAGCTACATCTAAGAACTTCTTTAACCACCTGTAACAGGCTCCATCTCATGTTCAAATTCAGCTTTGAATTTGATGTTCAGAGAGCATTTGTTGCTAAGATTTCAAATGACACAAAGATAGGTGGAAGGACAGGTGGTGTTGAGGAGGTGGGAAAGATGCAGAAGGACTTGGACAGGCTAGGACAGTGGGCAAGGAAGCAGCAGATGGAATAAAGATGGCAAAGTGTGAGGTTATGCAATTTGGTAGGAAGAATAGAGGTGGGGACTATTTTCTAAATTCATAGATTCATACAGCACAGAAAAGGCCCTTTGGCCCATTGTGTCTGCACTGACATAACTACCACTAAAAGTGCACTAATCCCAATTTCATGCGCTTGTCTCATAACCATGGCTGTTATGATAGTTGAGGTGCTCATCCAAATATTTTTCAAAATTTGTAAGGTTTCTGGCCGCCACTACCTTCTCAGGCAGTCCATTCTAGATTCCCACCATCCACTGAGTAAAAAAGTTTTTTCCCCAAATCCCCTCTGAATCTCCTGACCCTTTCCTTAAAATTATGCCCACTCGTGCTTGACACCTCAACCAAGGGGAACAGCTGCTATCTATTCACCCGGTCCACATGTTATACTCATAATCTGATAAATCTCAATCACGCCCAACCTCAGTCTTCTCTGCTCTAGAGAAAACAATCCGAGCCTTTCTCATCTTCCTTAGAGCTCAATTTCTCCATCCCAGGCATCATCCTGGTGAACCTCTTCTGTAACCCGTCTAGTGCTGCCACATCCTTCCTGTAGTGAGGTGACTAGAACTGCGCACAGTACTCCAGCTGTGCCCTGACCAACGCTCTGTACAGCCCCAACATTACTCCTTGCAGTTATACTCTATGCCATGATTGATAAAAGCAAGTGTCCCAAGCATTCTTGGCTATCCTGTTCACATGCTCTGCCGATGACAGTGGTCTGTGAATAATTACCCCAAGATCCCTCTGTTCCTCTAAGCTACCCACTGTCCTGCCGTTCATCAAATACTCCTTCATCTTGTTTCTTCTTCCAAAGTGCATCAACTCGTACCTATCAGGGTTAAATACCATCTGCCACTGGTCTGCCCATCTGACCAACCCATCTATATCTTCCTGTAACCTACAACCATCTTCTTTGCTGTTAATCACTCTACCACCCTGGTGTCATCTGCAAATTTGCTTAACATTCCCCCCACATTTTCATTCGTAACAAACAATGAGGGTCCCAGTACTGATCCTTCTGGTACACTGCTGGACACTGGCCTCGAGTCACTCAAACAGCCTTCTACCACTTTCCTTTGTTTACTATTACTAAGCCAGTTTCTGATCCATCTCTCAAAGTTTCCCTTAATTCCATGTGCATTAACCTTCTCCAACAGTCTCCCATATGGGACCTTGCTAAAATCCATTCAGACTACATCAACTGAATTTCCCTCATCCACACACTTGATCACATTTTCAAAAAATTTAAACAAATTTGTTAGGCATGCCCTCCCTCTGACAAAGCCGTGCTGACTATCCCTAATTAACCATTGCCTTTCCAAGTCAATTTTAATTCGCTCCTTCAGAATTTTCCTCAATATTTTCCCTACCACAGACATGAGACTCACTTATCTGTGATTTTACTGGTTCACCTCTACCATCGTGCTTAGAAAGTGGAACCACCTTAGCCATCCTCCAAACCTCTGGCACCTCCCCGATGGCCAGAGAGGAATTAAAAATTTGTGTCAGAACCCCTGCAATTTCTTGCCATGCCTCCCATAGCAGCCTGGGATGCAATTCATCTTGGTCAGGGGAATTGTCTGTTTTTAAGCCTGACAGAGCCTCCAATATCTCTCCATTTCCTATATCAAACTGTGCAAGTTTCTCACAGTCCCTTTTCCTGAATTCCGTACCTACTTTCTCCTTTTCCGGAGAGAAGACCAAACAGAGGTATTCATTCAACATCTTTCCAGTGCCCTGCAGTTTCAAACACAGTTTGTCCCCTTAGTCCCTAATGGGCCCTACTCTTTCCTTGTTTAATGTATTTATAAAATATCTTAGGATACTCCCTAATCCTGTTCACAAGTCCTTTGTCATGCCCCCTTTTTGCTCTCCCAATTGTTTTCTTAAGTTCCCTCCAGCACTGCTAGTATTCCTCTAGGGTCACAGCTGAATTGCTCTCTTTGGACTTGCTAAAAGCTCTACTCTTCTTTCTCATCCAGTCCTGAATTGACCTAGACATCCAGGATTCTCTGAGCTTATTACTCCTACATTTCCGTGTAAAAGGTACATGTTGGACCTGTACTCTCCCCACTCTTTTTTGAATGGCCCTATTACTCTGCTGTAGACGTATCTGCAAGAAGCTGTTTCCAGTTGATTGTGGCAAGATCCTGCTTTATTTTAACAAAATCTGCCTTCCCCCAAACCAAAGCTGTCTTTTGCAGGCCATCTTTTTCCTTAATAAATTTGAACCGTACTGTTCTGAGGAAGGGTCACCAGACACAAAACGTTAACTCTGTTTTCTCCACCACAGATGCTGCCAGACCTGCTGAGCTTTTCCAGCAACTTTGTTTTTGAACCGTACTGTGTTTGGTCGCTATTGCTCCTACAGCCACATCGAACATTTGTCTGGCTTCTTTCCCCAGAACTAGATCCAGCACTGCTCCAAGTTGAGCCTTCTAAATATTAATACAGAAAAATTCCCTGGATACATTTCAAAAAATTTGCCCCCTTTAAACCCTTAACATTATGACTATCCCAGTCTGTGGCATAATGGCTACTTTTATCTAATCATTTCCAGATGTAAGTTTTATAAATCCACGAACAGGCTTTCCAAAAATACTAAATAATCAGTGGGGTGGGGGAGAAAATAAATACAATGTCTATCACTAGAGAAAGAAACATTAGGGAATCTAATGGGACTAAAGGCTGATAAGTTGCCTGAACCTGATGTATTGCATTCTAGGCTATTAAAGGAAGTAGCCACAGAAGTAGATATACTGGTAGCAATCTGTCAAGAATCCCTAGATTCTAGAAAGCCCCAGACAACTGGAAAACTGCCAGCGTAATAGCCTTATTCAAAAAGGAAGCGAGATAAAAATCAGGTCATTATAGCTTAATGTCTGTGATTGCAAAAATGCTGGAATCTATTATAAAGGATGTAATAGCAGACATTAAGAAATGCTAATGTAATTAAGCAGAGTCAGCATGTCTTCAAACGGGGAAATCATGCCAGGCAATTTTATTAGAATTCCTTTGAGAAGATTATAGGCCAGGAACCCGAAGATGTAATATATTTGGATTTCCAAAAAGCATAGGATTATACACTGCACATGAATCTACTTAATAAGAGCCTCTGATGTTGGAGTAGTATATTCACATAGATGGAGTAGTATATTCGCATGGATGGAGATTAGCTAACTAATAGAAGACAGAGTTGGAGTGAAGGGGACATTTTTGGATTGCAAATTGTAATTAGTGAAATGCTACAGGTATCAGAGCTGGGACCACAATTATTTACAATATATTAAGAGTATTATTGTTCCATTTTACTACATACTAATGATTTGGATGAGCTAAGTGAATGTACTCTCTTCATGTTTGCAGATGACAAAAGTAGGTGAGAGGGTAAGTGTTGAAGACAAAATAGAGTCTACAGAGGAATATACTCAGGTTAAGTGAGTGGGCAGAAACTTGGCATATGGAATATACTGTGGGAAAATGATGTTATGTGTTTCAGGTGGAAGAATAGAGGAGCTAAATATTATTTAAATAATGAAAGACTGTAGGAAGCTGTAGCAGAGGGATTTGAGGATCCCACTGCATGAATCACAAAAGCTAACATCAATGTTCAGCGGATAACAGGGACGGCAAATGGAATGTTGGCATTTATTTCAAAGGGAATAGAGTATGAAAAGACGGAAATCTCGCTAGAACTGTACAATGCACTTGTCAGGAACAGCTGGAATACTGTGAACAATTTTGGGACCCTTATTAGAGGGGCAGTAACCAGAAAACACAGATTTAAGAATCCTTAGATTCTTGACAGATTGCTACCAGAGTACATACTACTTCTGCAGCTACTTCCTTTAATAGTCTAGAATGCAATACATCAGGTTCAGACAACCTATCGGGGCACTGGGGTAGTCCAAGAAGGTACAGTAGGCTGATCCTGGGCATGGATATATTTTCTTATGAGGAGTAATTGAGTAGTTTGGGCCCGTACACATTCAAGTTTAGGGGAATGAGAGGCAATCTTATTGAAACATACAAGATATTTAGAGGACAGGAAAGGGTAGATATGGAGCACTTTTGGGAGATTAATATCAAAATAAAGGGGTTGCAATTTAAGACAGAGATGAAGAGGAATTCCTTCTCTGAAGCTAGTGAATCTGGGGAATTCTTGATGACATAGAGTTGTTGAGACTGCTTCATTCAGAATATTAAAGGCTGAGATAGGTTTTTAAACAGTGTAAAGATGTATCTTTTTATTTCTCTGTATTTTTAGTTGTAATTACTTTTAAAAGTGAATGTACTGGGAAGTACAGTCTACACTGGAAAATAGGGGGAGACGATGACCTAGTGGTATTATCGCTAGACAATTAATCCAGAAATTGTTAATTAAATTAATCAAGAGTTTGAATGAGAGATGGTGGAATTTGAATTCAATAAAAATCTGGAATTAAGAGTCTAATGACGACCATGAAACTGTTGCTGATGGTCATGAAAAGAACCCTATGTGGTTCACTTAATGATCTTTTGGGAAGGAAACTGTAATCCTTACCTGGTCTGGTCTACACGTCATT